CGGGGCGGGGCGGGCGCGCTCAGAGCCGCGTCTGCGCCTCGGGGATGTAGATCTCGATGCTCTCGGCGCTCTCGGTGGCCGAGCTCTGGCGGACGGACGCGGCGCGCTTGGCGGCCATCAGGCGCTTGCGGGCCTCCTGGCGCTGCGAGCTCTCCAGCGAGCGCTCCCGGATCAGCGGCGCGGGGCCCTTCGCCGGCTTCTTTGGCACTGGAGGAGGGGCCCTTCTCTCCTGATCAAAGCAGAAGGTTCAGGACATTACACAGCTTCTCAGGGCAAGCTTGGGGGAAACTGGGATAGGTCAGTAGTTAGAACACACTTTTTTTTTTTTTTTTTAAGCCTAAGGGTGGTTAGTTCTGATCTGCACACTGCCTATAACATTTTTCTTTATTATTCTGGCTTGGGTATTCAAAAGATGCAGAGGGGGGAAAAAAATACCGGTAAGCTTAAGGCCAAGGGTAAGGCTGGGCTGCAGAACTAGGTCTCTCCGAGGAAAGGCTGTGGGTCTTTAAAACGCCCCCTGCTGAAGGGCTGAGCCCCCCGCACATTTAGAGTGGCTCTCCCTGGAGGCTCCAGGCTCTCCCTGCGGCGGCAGCTGAGAGCTCTGCACCTCCTCTAAGGAGGCAAGGCAGCTGGTGTGAGCCGGGCTCAGAGTGTAAAACCATCACCGCCCTCTCCCAGGCCCACCCAAACCTGAGCAGCCAAATGAAGAAGAAGAGATGATAAGACTGTGTTCTTTAGCTTTGTAGATGCCACAGTGAGTCACACCCGTTTGCACACCACACACAAACACACAGCAGTAAACCTTCCAGGGTCACGCTGGAGGGAAGACACTGATAATTCCCACCACTGGCTTGGAATCGGTTCCCAAATGGCTCCTAAAACATCCTACTGGGATGCCACTCAGGGGCCTCAGAGTGAACTGTGGCCCAGCGGCCACTGCAACCACAGGGACAGACTGTGCCGTGAAAACTTCACACAGGACTGGAAGAGTTCATCGGCCTTAGCAACAGCAAACGATAAAATAGTTAGACATTTTAAAATGCCATTGCAAACACAAAAGCCATTCATGACTTCGGCAGGAAAAAAAGGAGTGGGAAAGAAGGAGACCTAGACCAGAAAGGGTTTTTACGAAAAGGGTGATAAACTGTCAGGCTGTGAAATGATCCATGTGAATGTTTTCAGTTTTAATAAAACACCCTCAGTCCTCATAAATAAATGTGAAATGTCTCATAAATATGAAAAGTATCTTAAAATATGGATTCTAAGGTTCTTCAACGGGCACTCACTCCTTGTGCCTTAACACTGCTCATCACAGCAGTTTCTCTGCTGGTGTGGGCAAAGTGCCCAGTTAAACTCATTACATTGGAGCTGCCCTCAGGCAGTTTAAGGGAGAGTCTGTGTGGTCCAGAGGACAGAAAAAGGAAGCACAGCATCCAAACAGTATTCTGCCTACTCTGGTTGTGCTCGTTCATGTTTCCCCCCTAAATTTAATGGGGTGATGAAAAGCTCTGATCATGGACAAAATGTATAAAGATTTAGAAATCAAGTTAACTAATGATTAAGTATGAATGTCAACAGGTTACATATACCAATTCTTAGCATCACTCCTTTTGGACATTTTAAATCTTCATTGCTGAGTAACTTGGTGGGTAATTTTAAAGGTATGAATATTGATAATTTTAGTCACATTTTCCTACTCTTGTGTTTTCTTTTTTAACAATAATTTTTTTAAAAAATCAATAAAAAGGAAATTAGATAGATCAGCTCCAGAAACTAAATTACCATGATGCGTCTGTACATCTGTAGTGTTTTTAAAAAATAAGACCAATTCAAAAGCTTCTCTAGCAGACAATTTTAAACACACATTTAAAAAACAAGCTAGGTTAAGTGCAAATGTTTGGCTTCCCAAGCGAGAGTCCACACGTAAATCAATGGTACTTTGATGCTTAATGCTAAAACTCTCAGGTTGACCATGACAGAATTGGAAATAAGGAACAGTGATGATAGTGTCGCTTTCCTGTCTACTATGTACTGTCTTTTGGGACTGGATTTCTCTTGGGAGCCCACTGACCCCAAGAACCCTGATAATATGATGGGTTGGATTGCTATTAGGTAAGGAGGTAGGTGAGGAGATCTACCTCCTGTAAAGGGCAGGGCCACCAATGTTTCAGGGGAATAGCCGTGAGTAATTTTTGTAGTTGAATCTCTTGGAACTATTTGACATCAAGCCATAGGAAAGCAAAGTGTTAAAAAAGTTGTGCATGACAGCCCAGCCTGGGGAGGTGGACATTGTATACCTGTGTGAGCCTGGTGGAACCACCATAATCCAATGTGAAAATTGCAGTTTGTTAATTAAAGTAAAAAAAAATTGAGTCTTTATTTCTAAACGGTTGCATGAGGAACCCAATGAGCAATATTTCCCAAGGCAAACTGACCAAAAGTAAAACTCTTTTAAAAGGAAAAAAATCCCGACGTTTTTGATTACTGTGAAACTTGATGGTGTGTATATTTTTTAGACTTGAACAACAGTGGTTTCTTTATTACTATACTTATGAAATGATTATCAAAGTCAGTTAGCTTTCAGGGCTTCTTATTTTTCTCAGAAACACATCCTAGGGGTATAAGGAAGTTGAACTCTTGCTCTATGTAATCATGCACTGAATATGTCATTTATTTTAGTTTAAAAAGCAAAGTGGAGGCAGTTCCTTCCAGTGACTAAAATGGTTTAACTTAAAGTTTAATTAACAAAAAAAGCCACATTCCCATTTTCCAATTCACAAAGACAGGTTTTTCTTAAAAAATATGCCTGAAACATATTACAGATAATATCCCAAATGATTACTATGTAAACATTGTCATTACAATGAAATTAATATGATATCAGCTCCATTTCACATTGTAAACAGCAAGACTGAATGCAGAAGCCTATTTAGACTGTCCAATGTTTGTGCAGGTTTTTAAATGAACCATACAAAATCTACATTGTTCTACCTTCTTGTCAAGAGGATCCATCTGTTTCCAATTATTGGCCTTTAACTGATGGAGTTCATCAAATTTCATACTAATATTTTCTATGGACAATTGCAGCATGTCCCAGAACCCCGCCAAATCCTGGGAGGTGGGCCTTGGATGAGCATTAGGGTTCTGTACAAGAGAAAGAAGAACAGTCATGCTTTAGAGGCAGTCCATGGCAACAAGCACAGGGCCAAAGCGGCGTTTTCAAATACTTCAGACAACGTAAGGAGGATGAGTTCCTTTTGGTTTGCAGATGAAAGTGGTAATTTTATGGTAATTTACAAATGGTAATTTTATTTTTAAAAATACATATGTATATTTTTCAGCTTTACTGAGGTATAATTGACAAATAATAATCCTAAGACATTTAAAGTAAACAAATATGATAATTTGATATACACTGTGAAAGAATTCCCTCCATCGAGTTAATTAACAGATCCATTACCTCACGTATTTAGCTTTTAAAAAAATTTGTGGTGAGAACATTAAGTTCTACTCTCTTAGCAAATTTCAGTTATACAGTGCAGTGCTATCAACTACAATCAACATGTGATACGTTAGATCCTCAGACCATATTCATCTCCTAACTAAAAGTTGTACCCTTTTACCAGCTTCTCCCTATTTCTTCCACCCCTCAGCCCCTAGCACCCACTCTTCATTCTGTTTCTATGAGCTTGACTGTTTTGGTTTTTTTAGAGTCCACTGCAAATGGTAATTTTATACATACATCTGTTTGAGTCAGTGATTCTCAAATACCAAGGTTGTAAAACTCGTCTTTTGTAATACGACATCTATCAACACAGCATGGGGGAAGAGTGAATATTTGAAAATCCAGAATATATGATGTACAACAAGATGCATGTAAAATACTGTATTTAAATGAAAATACCATCTTTGGAAAAAAAATACAGTATATCAGAGTCAGTATTTGACTTTCAGCTACCCAGCTTATTCAGAGAATAGGTATGTAATCTAAAATATGATTTGTTTTAATACTAATGTGGAATGAAATACTAAGGTAAACAGACAGTGAGTCAGTCATAAAATAATTGAATTTTCAAAGTACTATCTGTTTAACAATTAAGATGTTATTAATATAAGAAGTCGTTTTATCATATGAGTACTTTGGCAAAATCATTCAGAAATTGCCATTCAGAACTTTAAATTGACCATAACATGATATAGCAAATGTGAGAACACATATCTACACAAATGCATAGAGTCTATAGCAACCCATTTGCTAGATAATATTAAAACATTCTTTGGTTTTTAAGGATTGACTTTCTTTGCCTCCATCCGCATATCCTTGACAAGTACTAGAAAGTACAAACCACAAATTATTATGGTCTAAGGCAGAAAAACCATAACTAAGTAATTGAAGGTGTCCTGCTCATTGTCAATCAGTACCTGCAACAGTAGCTGAAGCATTCATGGTTAGATTGGTTGGACGTGCCATATGTCAGGTGTTTACTGCTGGGGTCAGTTTTGGTTACCTCCAGGCAATTGGATAGACTGTGAAACCTCATGCCATAGAATAACTTAAGGTCAGTTTATACTTTTAAAACCAACCCTTATAAAAAATGATATCAGAATTTCAGAAAGTGGAAGGTCAGTGACCATCAAAATTAATAGGTTGGAAAGAACTTTTTAGCCCTTTGAATGGAGTAGCATTATTTGTCTGGACCCAAAATAAATACAAGTAAAGATATTTTTCTACACTTACAGTTCTAAAACTCCCATAGTCCTGAAATTCATTGGAAGAAGTAAATTCTAAAGTTTGTGTTTGGTTCAGTACTAAATCTGTGTTGATAATACCTAAATTAATGAAAGAGCTTCATTAATTTGAGCAAAATGCTCAAAAGAGTAGCATTTTGATTTAGTAAATTTAAAAAAGGCTTTTTAATATCTAGGTTCAGAAAAGACAGATACTAGTTTTGACAAAGTATCTCTCATGGAGATACTTTGGTACCTCTCATGGTAATGGAGTTTTATGATCTCACAATATATTTCCTTATCTTACTGATAACCAAAAATTAAATTGCTCATATTCTGGAATTCACTAAAGTCTTTTAGGTCAGGTTCTATTGGCTAAGTTGTTTCAGTGGACCAGTGCATGAAATGATCGATAGGCAAAGAGTTATTTAACTCTGTATCATGGGCAATTTGTTCCCTCCTCACAAAGACTTTCTTTGCCCCCATCTCATGAAGGGGACGGATGAGGAAGCAGTGAGAAAGAGCTCAGGCACTCAGCCAGTCCTGAATCAGTGGGTCATGTGACATCCCATGCACAAGAAGTTGCAGCACTAGCCTTAGTGTGAACCAGGCCACTTAGAGGTCAGAGATGGTGGAGAGTGTGAAAAGATGAGGAGGGCTGTGTTCCTTGGCTTAATTTTATTGGAAAAAGTAACTCTCATTCATTCATTCTATGCCTGAGAGTCTAGTCTGAGGTAATGTGTCCGGTTGTGACTAATCTTAGTGCCATCTTTACGCAGCTTTGTAGAACTAAACAATACCACCACCAGACCACCGTGCTTCCTGCTGCAGGGGAGGCAGGTAGAGCTGACCGATCAACCCCAGGTCCCTCCACGAGGCTGAGTAGTGCAGCTCAGATTCCAGGAGATAAGTAGGGCAGTGAGTGGATTTACTGGGATTGAGGTCAAAGAGACTGAGATTTGAATCTTGGTTCAGCCTTACCACGTGGCCCTGGTCAAGTTACTTAGCCTTTCCACGCCCATTTTCCTCAACCATAAAACCATCATAGAAATAATGTCACAATCTGCTCCTTGAGGTCTGACACATAGAGTGCTCTTGACCTTCCCTCCTGGGGCATGGCTTGACCAACCATCAGTGGCCCTTGGCCCCCAGTGTAGTCCCACTTCCATCTACCTCAAACATGCTTCTCACACTGTGCCACCTAAGTTCCTCTGGTGGCCAAGGAATATGAGCCTATCAGGAACTAGGAAACATCAAAAGACAGCTTTAGCAAGGGAAACCTTTCCTGGAAGTCTGCAAAATTTTCAAGACATTTTGTCTGCAATTTCATCTTCAAAATCTGCACAATGTTTGTATTCTACTTTGTAATATACCAGTCTGTTATATAATTCTTTTAAAAGGCATGCTCTGTGCCCTGTACTGTGTACATATTGGGCCCCAGGTGTATCTAGCAGTCGTTTTGCGAAGTTTAGCTTTATGTGAGCTGTCTTACATTTAAAGAACAAAGAATCATGTTAACAAGACCTGTGACACATTACGAAGTTTACAAATTAGCAGGAATTCAATAAAAAACCATACTTACAAAAAATTAAAAATGTTAAAAAGAAAAAGCAAAGCCTGGTGAAGAGGAATGAAGAGTACTAATTTTTGCATGCTTTCTATTTTTTCTTGGCTGAGTCCTGTCTAGATAAATCCCTTTCAGTCTGTATTTGTCCTTGTAATAAGAAGATGTGGTTAAAACTCTGAAATCATAGTTTGGGTCAATCATATTGCATATTAGTGTGTTTTTAGTTGCTTTTCATTATCTTTGTTTTAGATCCAGCTTGACCAACAATTAGCCAATAAAAGCTATTCTTGTGGAATGACACTCATAGAGATATGAGCAGTTTTTTAAAAGGCATATGTGAGTGAGGAAGCGCTTGCCCCTGCACTTTGCAGTCAGTTTTTAAAGTGTTGCTAGCAGTGGTGCTTCTATCTCTGCTTTGCTTTATTTTGTTTTTGTATGTCCGAGAAGGACTCATTTGTCTCGGGGAGATCAAGTCTACACTTTGTGATGCCCTCCACCTCTGGCTCCTGAATTAAACAGAGAGCTCTGAGTAGGATATACAAACTGATGGTGATTTCAGAAAGAAAATCATCATCCAAAATGATTTTCTGTAACATTATTTTTGAAATATCAGGCTGCTCCCTATTTTGGGAAGAATAATGAAATCAGAGATACCACGGGAAAGCCAGGAAAATGGAAAATTTCCAGTTACCATCAAGCAGGAAATGGAGTTTTAACTTGATTGGGGTTTTTTTGGTGAGATTATTTAAGTATGAAATAAGTATTTTTAATTTTAAGAAAAACAGGAAATAAGATTCATCAGAAAACTCTCTTTTCCAGGTGAGAGAGTCCAATGGGCCCTGACTCTGTTCAAAATCAGTTTTCTTTCAGTTGGGCCAGTCTTGACCACATGTTCTCATGGTACTAGCAGGGAAATGGTAGCGATGGGGAATGTTACCTACCAGGTTTTCTTCACACAGTTCTCTGAACTGGTAGAATTTCTGGGCCATGAGAAGTTGGGCACTGCCCACTGCAGTTCGGATTTTCCCTAGAACTGAAAAGAGCAAACATACAAGAAGTTTACACATTCTGTCTCACTGTTGAGATTTAATCTGGTAAAGCAAAGCAGAAGTTATGCTGCAGTGATTTGGGGAAACAGCACACACAGTGCACGCACACACGCGCACACAGCCCAGTCGCGGTCGTTACTCTGCTGGTCTACGTAACAGAGGCTCGCAGGTTAAAGTATAAAATCAGCTTGGGGGGAAACAGGCGCTCATCATGCCTATTTCTTAGGGGTCACAGAGTTTCCTACCACAGCACTCGCTGTTACCGAGAGAAGAGGCAAACAGTTTTGTTTTTTCCTTTTACTTCAAGGATGGATTGCAAGTGTTCACCTGTATAGGTGTGGATTTGTGTCAGCGATCACGGTCTGCTGGTTTGTTTTTCGAACCCAAATCCAAACACAAGAAAAGCCATCCTGTCGTGGAGGGGGGCCTCTTGGCACTCACCATATTCCATCATAGCTTTCGCTATTTTTCCGGAGCTCAGCCACTGGTACTGTCAGGAAAGAGCCACCGGCCGGTTGAAAGACTCTCTACGGAGCGAACATTTTCAGACTGCTGCCTGGGGAACGCCAGCACCGCCCAGCTTTTCCACGCCACAGCCCAGGGTTATTGTTAATACAGGTTTAACTCCCTATGCACTGTGCTGCACATCTTCCCCTTTGCAAGCTACTTCTTGCCTTCTGTGCAGTCTAGGGCAGGAATCTTTCAGCTGGTGGGCGTGCTGAGACGGGCGGGGAGCTCCGCACAGAGCTGTCCTCAGGTCCGCTTTGTCCCAGAGGCTCCCTCCCGGCGGGGACCGGGGCACAGCTGCACTGCTGGAGCCCTGCCACCAGGCGGTTCTCAGCACGCCCTCCCTGCCGGGGAGGAAGGAGAAGGCCGCCGCTGGCTCTCTCCCCGCCCACGGAGACGACCAGAGGGGGACACTTCTCAGAGTGCACTGGGGCCCCTTGGAAATCTCCAAGGGGAGGCAGATGAAAGGATTAAAGCAATAGTTTTGCTGTTGGTCTGTTATGAATTCACAGAACCTGAGACTCCCTTTCTAGACCTCATTCCCCACAAAGGCTGATGAGAAGAAAACAGAAGAAAAAGAAACTTCATTTTGGCCCAGGGTTTTCTAGAAACCTGTTTCTCTGTTTAAAACTGCCAGGCTAGCCAGCGGTTTCTGACGATGCACAGTATGCCTGGGCACTACGCTGAGTTCCAGCATTCCCACGCGGAGCTCGGGGCCATTACGAACTCTCCCGTCACGCCAAGCCGCTGAAGCTCGGGACTTCGCCTGCTCGGTGACAGCAGGGGCTCCTCCTTGACAGCCGCCTGGCAGCTTTCACTCAGGGCGAAGTTTTTACTTCTTTTCAATCCACTTAAACTCCTTTGAGATGGTTATTCCATTCCTCTTTAACTGAGCCCTCAGCTGTTTGAGGCCTCCTTTCCCTTTCTCAACACTCCAGAAGCAGAAGGGACAGAGTATGAAGAAGACACAGGGCACCACTGTAGTTAAGGATTCAGGCCCTGAGTGGGCCAAGGGTTCTGGCTCCAACACTTAGAGCAGCCACTGCCCTGGACAGGTCACTTTATCTGTCTTCTCACATGTAAAATGGAGCTATTGGTACCTATTTGTAGGGTTGTTGTTAAGGTTAAAAGTGGTAATGTATGTGAATTGCTCAGGACAGTGTCTGATATACAGCAAGCACTCGATAAGTGTGCATTATCATCTAGGACCAGGACATTACTTGTCCTCTATGGGTGTGTCAACTGTGAGCCCCACGCTTGCTCTGCCCAGAAGAGTAGAGGAAAAAACCAAAGTCTGGATTATTCAAAGGTAACCAGACATCCATGGTTGCCTGGGAAGGGTGTGTGCTTTGATGGCCTGGACTAGCTCTGAGACAGGTCTGAGAAGGCACTTCCCAAGAGAACACATGGCTTTAGGCAAACTCTAAGGTTCCTGAATTATCTTGCTGAAAGGCAGGATTCTGACACCGGCAAATTCCAGAATGAATCATGGGAGATTAGAACTAACACCTAAGTCTCCAGTTTGTCGTCTAGGATGGCTTAGCTCCTGGGCACTGTCATAGAAACGGAAACAATTCTGATATACCTCAGTTTTTGGGCTAAGGTTCCTAGTTACAGGGAATACCTGTGCTATGTAATAGCCTGCCATACTAAGAGCAGCTGAGTAAGATCACAGTGATTCTCCAATGAGGAGAAAGCAGTGCTGCAAACAATCTTCCAGGCAGGTAGGGGCTAACTTGGACTTCTTCTTAAGGAAAACAAGGGACATCTTTCTTCATTCAGCACGGTCTGGTGAGAACCCTAGACTGGGAGCAAAAATATCTGGGGTGAAGTGTGGCCCGTCCGTTTCCCAGGTTTTTACCATCATGTTCCTTGAGTGGAAATGTCTTATTGGCTCCCAGATTACTTGTATTCCTTGTGTCCAGGCGATGGTCTTTCCTAGGCCCCGGGTAGGGAGATGATGATTTGGGTCAGGAGTGAAACCCTGAAACAAGAGGGTGTGGGACAAGCAGATGATAACTCCTACTTCTTTGCCCTTCACACTCTTTTTTAGGGAATTAAAAATTCACTTTCATTTTTAGGGAAGAAGTTCTAATGGAGTTTGCCCTGTTTCATTTGTCCACTGTACACTGACTTGGTGTGTGAGATAACTCTTTTCTCCCAGAGGTAAATTTCATATTTGTTACATAGGCCATAAGGAAATACAAGACTAATAAACAGTAGATGGTAAACACCAGTGGAAGTAAACAGTAGGGAAAAAAGCTGAATCTTGGTAAAGAAGTGAGATAAGAAGAAAGGTCATTGTAATGTCATTTAGAAACTACTCTGAAATATTCCATACCAAACTTCAGCAGAGTGTAAAGAAAAGACTTCGGTCAGGCATGCTAGGAAAAGAAATCTAAAGGAACAACAGTGAGTGAGATAGACAGCTTTCAGCTGTGGGCTTTTCCCATGCATATAAAACAGCCCCACCTGGTATTGGAAAGTTCTGGAGGAGGTGTAGGTACAGTGCATCTTTCCAGGGTTAGCTTTGCATCTGACTATTTTGCTGTAGCACAGCAGCAGTAAGCTTTTCTGGGGCTGGCCTGGCCCCCAGAGCCAGAGGAGCCTGAAAGTGTCGCGTCTGTACAAAAGCTGGTGGGCAAGGCTGACCTTCAAATTATGTTTTCATGGAGCAGGGACAGTCCTTGTGGGTTCCGGGAATTCATTAATTCGACAAATATTTATTAAGGGCACACGGTGTGCGAGGCACTGTGCTGGATGGATGTGACATAGTGATAAGCAAACGTCTTGCCCTCCTGAGTTACATTCTGGTGCGGGGTAGTGGGAGAGACTGTAAAACATAGAAACATGGATTTAAAGGTCTGGGATTTGCTAGATTACTTGGAATGATCAGATGGGGCTGAGCATGATTGAGCAATTCTAAGGACAGTGAATTCCTTAAATGGTGGTTACGGAACATTCCGTGTCCTTGGTCTCTCTTAAGAAATAGAAAACAAACAAACAAAAAACATGGGTATCAGTTCCAATATAAAAACTGACTCTGGGCTAAACAGCTTGTTTTAGAATTTTATTTATTTATTTTTGCTGATTGACTGTTAGAGAGAGAGAGGAAGGAAGAGAGAGGGGCATCGATCTGCTGTCCCGCTTACTCACGCTTGCTTTGGTCGGCTCTCGTGTGTGCCCTAACTGGGGTTGGACCCACAGCCTTGGCATACTGGGGTGATGCTCTAGCCAACTAAGCTACCCCGCCGGGGCAGCAGCTTCTTGCAGTAATCGTCATTTGAAAATGCCACTGCTTTTCATTTGGAAAAGAATTAAAATACATGAAAGTAGAGAGGGCAATATAGCAAACATCTATGTATATGCTCCTCCCTAAAGAAACAAACGTTATGTCTCTTGAACTGCGAAGGCGGAAACACTGGTTTCTCTGACTGCTTCCGATTCTCTTTACCATGCCCGACTCTGTGATCATTAGTCAGGGCTCAGAAACAGAGAATAGGTGTGTTTCCTATACCCTTCACACAGCTTTCCCGGAACCCAGACACTGCATACGGATTCGAAGGACTACGTCGGGCCGTGTCCCCCCTGGTGGAGGGTACTGCGGTGGGCACGGGGGGATGCTTCCCGCCCGGCCTCCTACACTGCATTTCACCGAGTATGCCACGTTTCCAGCCCGTCTGTGCGTGTAATAGCCGGGCAAGGGCACAGGCTTCGGCGTCAGGGATGATCAGCCACGCCGCTGAACAGCTGCTGCTCCGGGAGAGCCTGTCGTGTTGGAACGGCAGCCCTACCAGCCTACCAGTCCCCTAAGTGCCGGATTCTCCACAGGGCAGGCTGCCTCTGCTCTCTGTCCTCAACTCCGTTTGTCCTTCCAGGCCTGCGGGCTGGCTCTCTCTTCCCACTCCTTACTTTTCCGGATCTCTCCGCATTTGACACAAAGGAAACTCAGCTTCCTTGGCTCCCACGCTGCATTCTGGCTCTGACACTGTCTTCTTTATTCCTGCCTCTCACTTCACCTTGTAAATGCTGAACACAGACTCAATCCTGAGCTCACCGCCCTTATTCCGCGTGAGCGATCTCAGACACTCTCCTGGTTTCAGCTATTTTGTAAATACGTTTAGTTTCTCACATTTGTCACTCCAGTGTCTACCAACCCCTCAAGCCTCAGAGCATATTTAAGCACCCGCCCAACACCTCTTATCTCCCCCCAGTTCCCTAGTTGATTACAATTAGGGCTGCAAGGCTGGGTCGCCCCTTCCCTACCATGAATATTCTCCCTCCCTTTCTAATCTTGGAGGTTTGAGTTTATTAAGGGAACTAGAGGGGCCTCTTACCTCATAATTCTTAAGCTTGAAACTTTTCCATGGTTCCCTATCATCCATGGGATGAGTGGAAACTCCTTTCAGCGGCTTGCAGGCAAGGCCCACCTGTCCAGCCTTACTTCTGCCCACTCTCTCAGTGCTTTGGGCCTCCAGTTTCCCAGATCTAAAACAGTCTCTCTCCTCAATGTCTTTGCTCAGGCTCAACACTAAACCGGAGAAGCCTCCTGCTGGGGGGCTTACCCTAGGCCCTCCCCCTGCGCTCAGGTCTGACTCCTCCAGAAACCCACACCTCCTTTCACCTCTCCTTCCGCGATGCTCCTCATATTCCCATGCACAGCTCTGTCTTTTCCCTTCCCATATGCTTCCCAGTATAGGTCTGACTTTCTAACCAGACAAGCTGCTCTTCAATGGCACAGACTATGTCTACGAAACAGGTTTTGAAATTAACTGACTCATCTACGAATTTTATGTTAACCAGAAAAATAAATTAACTGCAACATTCTAGGCCTTAAGCATTCTAATTCTTTAAGGTTTTTACCAGGTCTAACATCACTTTTTAAGTTGTAGTCTTGATTAATTAATTAGCTAATATAGTCTTGGCTGGACTATTATTCCCCTTGGGATTCTGTTACAATATTATTTGTGCTGATTTAGGCTGGAAAAGCCAAGCCATTTGGGATCAGTTGAATGTGCTGCATGTGTGAATCGAACCTCCTAATTTTCAGGTTTTGAATTCTTTGCACTCATCTGGCTTTCCCCTCCCTCAATGTTGTAGACTTTAGAGGTAAAGGAGGAAAAAGGAATTTTGAAAAAGTGGGTCGACCCACTTACTTTAAGGTCCTGTGGATTTGTCAGCCTGAATCTGTGTGATTGCAAGTTGGGATTATCCAAATGGAGACATTCTTATTTACGAGAATAGCCTCTTGGAAAACAATTTCTTCAAACAACTGGCCACTTCTCAAGCAGAGTTGTGATCCAGAACTGCTGTCGACAAAAGGTTTCCATAGAAAACATGGATCTATTGCCCAGCCGGTGTGGCTCAGTGGTTGAGCTTCAACCCATGAACCAGGAAAACATGGATCCATTTCATTCCTGGCTGGCAGGGGCTGCTCTGCATTTAACAAGAGTGCTTTTATTTTATTTAGTCATTTTTTAGCTAAAACTTGGTGGCTAATAAACAAAGAATGAAATTCACAAGCAGAAATTTTCCCATAAACTAAAACCAGGGCTTCCACAGGGCTAAAACATAGCAGGGTGGGGGATGCTGTTTCATTTGTAAAGAGCAAGTTTTCAAAAACTCAACTGACTTTACTTTTTTCTCCCAGCACTGAAATAGTAGCAACATCATATGCACTACATAGGTAAGTCCAATTTTTGAACCTTTGAAAGCGGAAGGAAATGAAATTAGTTAACATTTCCTCTGGTAATATAGAAGAAAAGAACATAATGCCGTATTTGAAGTCCATTGTAATTATATTCTACAGAAACAGTTATTGTTAGAGAAAACAATGGAGATCTTGCTCCACGAGTCAGTCCCTCTCTCTGCAATCTCTGCCTCTCTGCAGTGCGGGGACCATGGAACTCATTCCAGTCTGGAATAATGGGGGCATTGCTGGCCTGGGGAGCGGGAAAGCTGTTTCCAGGCCTGGTTCTGTCTTCAACTTGCCATAACACTTCACCTCTCCATGCCTCAGCGCTCTCCTCAGCCTCCAGACCACCCCCAGTGAGTCACACCCACAAAAGCATGCTCTGTAATGTCCCTCTGGCACCAACACCTTCCTCTCTGTGCTCAGTGCTATGCAAAGCGAAATGAACTGAGCATCTAGAAAGTTAAACGTAAGTCACATTACACACAATTTCCTTTTCACTACTTTCACTTCCTCCTCAGTCACTAATTTCAGGTTGGCCAGACCTTGAGAAAAGACACACACAAAAAAACTATGTAGTGTGTGTGTGTGTGTGTGTGTGTGTGTGTGTGTGTGTGTGCACACATGGTGAGGGAGGACAGGGAAGGACCTCTGGAAGCCTACTTCAAAAGTAAGATGAGGCTACAACAGAAAGTAACTAGGAGGCACCCATCTCTCCCAGCTTAGAAACACATGAGGGCTTGAGGCAGGCAAACTGCAGAAATTACGAGAGCTGCTTTGCCTGCCGCCCACTGTTTCGAAGGCTGCAGAGACATGCTACAGGCGACACTGGGCAGAGCGACCCGGCGATCGCACCGATAGACGGTCACAGTGATGACTGTGCACAGCTTCCGTAACTCAACCTGAAACCAGGCAAACCCCATTTCAGGTTTCATTACCAGTCTCACACTCCCTGCCAAGGCTCACAAGCCTTCTGGGGGACTCAAGGCCAAGTTTCACTGACTTGGATGCTATTAGCAGGCAACATTAAAGTGGAATCAATCTACCTCCTGCACACGCTCTAGGTTTATCAGTTCGTTTCAGATAGAGCCTGAAAATTCCACATAGAAGTTGTTCACGATTCAGGAGGCAAAGATAGATTTCCAAGCACAATCAACCAGTATTCCATCCCAGGGCCATTGAAACCCGAGCCCGTGTTTTTCCCCCGCAGTAGACAGCATTCCAGGTTAGAAGCATTCAGTTCCATCTGGCCGTTTCATTCCCGGTCAGATAATACCAGACGTATCCATGTAACATACAAGCCACTGTCAAACAGCACTGAGCCATCTCCCCGAGACAGCTGTTTCACACAAGGCTTCATTGTCTGAGAAAAGCTTGTATCATTTTACTTCAAGTGCTGAGGGAACAAGCGTTCTGTCAGCTGCCACGGTCTGGAGGAAAACTCACTCACTGCAGCTTCTCATTGTTTTGTTATTGAGCCAAAAACCTACTATCGACTGTCAGGGATGAAGGTTTAAAACAAGAATGAAAGTCCTTGCTCTGCTTTTATTTTATCAGGGAAAATAATAGCTTCGCACACCCGAAGAATTTATGGTTACACTTTTCAAAAGATAGCTTGAGGGGACTGGGTGACTACAAGTGCTTGTTTTCACTCTGCCCTGCGTGGCCTCATTTATCCAGTTTCAGGTAAACTGGGCAAGTGTGTTCCAGCCCCGGGAATGCCAAAAACAAAGTCCCTAGGAAGCAACTGTCACAGTGAGGATAATGACATCATAAAATAATGGATCACTGAATAATCAAAATGGGATGGCTCTTTCTCCATCGTTTCTCTAATAGAGAAAGATGATTGCGACCACCCAAGCCCAAATCTGCACTTCAAATTCCCACTGAGCACATCGGTTCTGTTCCTAACTCCTCCTCCTCCTTCCCTGCCATGAACATACTCTACAGTCGACTCCTGCACAATGCACAAATGAGGGGCACCGACTCCCATAGTTCAAAATCAGCATATGACTTTTGACTCCTCCAAAAGTTAAGTTGTCCCTTGATACCTATGGGGGATCGGTTCCAGGACCTCAGCAGATACCAAAACCCAAGGATGCCTAAGTCCCCTAACATAAGATGGCACAGGTCAATGCACACACAGTAGGTCCTCTGTGTCCACAGACTCTTTACAAGAACAGTACAGGTATTTATTGGGGGAAAAATCCTCATATAAGTGGGCCCACACAGTTCAAAGCTGTGTTGTTTAAGGGTCAGCCGTATTTTGAATTCAGGAAGACATTTAAAAAAATGCCCTACATCCCTATAAGCATAATGAACAACTCCGAGCATGATGATAATACACTCGTTCTACCTACCTTTAGCTACTGTAGACATTTTTTTTTAAAGGTTTTTTTGTTTTGTGTTTTTTTTACTGTGATAAAATATACATAAGAACTACTATTTAACAATTTTTAAGTGTACAGTTCAGAGAGACATTAAGTACATTCATCAAGCTTTTTTTTTTTTTAAATCCTCATCTGAGGATATTTTTTCCATTGCTTTTCAGTGAGAGTGGAAGGGAGAGAGAGAGAGGAAGAGAGAGAGAGAGAGAAACATCGAGAGAGAGACACACCGACTGGTGCCTCCCACACACCGCCCCTGGGCCGGAGCCTGCAACCGAGGTACGTGCCCTTGGCTGGAATCAAACCAACGCTCTAACCACTGAACCAAACCGGCTAGAATCACTGAGCATTTTAAAAAATTAGAAAATTGGGATAATTATGGTGCCCAACAACGTAAGATAAGCAAGTATGGTAAGAATCTTCCTTTCTCTCCCTCTGTCCTTCTTATCTTCCCATGAAGACTTTGAAGACTAGCTCTCTTGGGAGGGACTTGTCAAGGAGCCACCTTCATCATGTACCCTGAAGAGAGGTCCTCCTTGTATAGGACCCAAAGAACACACAAGGTGACTTGACCAAGAGACAAGACACAACTGTGTTTGACCCATGTGTCAAAGCTATTTTTCTGGGTGTACATAGATGGCTTTTTTAGAAAGCTGTTTATTTAGAAATTGGCTATGCCTGTAAAAAGAATTGACCTCCCTTCCTTACCACCCCTCTTTTGAGAAGAGAAAAGGTTAAATTAGAGGATTAGTAAAACAAAGGCCCTGTGCAACTTCAGGCCCAGTTATCAGAACAGAATTGTGGTTGCCAAGAAGCCGGGGAGAGATATGTAGAGAGAGCTTTAGAGGACAGCACCAAGCAACAAAGTATCATTATCTTGTCAAATGTTATTCATGTTGTATCTGTTCCATCAGACACTTCTGTGTTCTGTGACCTTGGACGAGATACTGCCAGAGAGCTGTTTTGAGGGCAAATAAAACAACCTGTCAAAGTCTCTGGCCCACTGCCGGGGGGTTATTGTAAAGGCAAGACGAATGGTCTTTCGTGTGCTTATGTTCGCCCTTCTTACGGCGGAGGTTTGCTGCGGCTTTCTGGTCATGTCTTCCCCGGGATCTGCAACTCTTTGTCCTGTGCATATGAATTTACCTCCGCACTGGTTAGAAATCTGGAATGCTAGTAGATTGGAGCTCCTGTTTTGTAGCACCCAGAGCATAAAATATAGAGAAGGCCTTCAAGGGCTGGCAGAATAGAATCGCGTCCCAAGAGCTGGAAGGGACACACAGGGCTCATCCAGATCACCCAGGTGACCAGTGCAGCAGTCTTTTCTATCTTTTTTGTGGCAGGTGCTCCCCTCTCTGCCAAATCCTTGCTCTCATGGGAAGGGCTCATCCCCTCACAAGGGAACCTCCTTCCATCTTTTGGCAAAAATAACTGCTAGTTACTTATTGAGTATTTTTTTAGCTACTTAGGAAGAAATGTTTTGTTAGGTAAAATACTTTTGTAAAACAAAATTTCCAAAGTATTTCGAGGACTCAAATACTTATTCACTGATCCTCTGCTATGTGCTAGCAAATATGAACATAATGAGATGATAATAATTTCTGTCCTCAGAGAGCTCACTTTTCAGTGGAGGAGAGAGATACACAAATTATCATAAAATTATGTTGGAAATACCTGATAGAGAAACTTACAGGCTATTACAAAAGCACCAGGGAAACATATCCAATGCAGCCTGAGGGGAGGCATTTTGCAAAGACTTCCAGGTGAGGCCCAAGCTGAGGCTTGAAGGAAGAACCATGTATTGTAAACTAGTTGCGCTTATATAAATAGATGCTACTAATTTGGATCAGTTTTGTACATTTTAAAAAGCACATGTAAAAGGGATTTATTTCTAAACTTCGTGTAAGCAGTTCAATCTAAAGTTATAAAATTATATTTAAAAAAGTAATAATTTGAGTTCTAGCCAGGTAGTTCAGTCGGTTAGATTGTTGTCCCAATATACCAAGGTTGCGGGTTCCATACCCAGTCAGGGCACATTCAAGAATCAGCCACTGAATGCGTGAATAAGTGGAACAACAAATCCATGTTTCTCAATCTCTCTCTCTCTCTCCCTCCTTCCCTCCACTCTTTCTCTCTTTCTAAAATCAATCAATAAAAAATTTTTTTAAAGTAATAATTTGGATTTTTCACTATAGACCATTGGCTTTCAAACTGTATTCTAGGAATCTTATTATTTTGGGGGGGATGGGTGTGTTTTTAGGTACCTTGGTCTGGGGTGGTAGGAGCTAAGCAGCCAGGCCTCCGGGCCCTCACCAGAAGTGCTTCACTGTTCCTCCTGTTATATTTATGGGTGTCGTATGTATTTTTTAAATTAGGAAAGGGGGTTCTGATATTAAAATATGTTTCAAACTACAAAGGGAGAACAATGTCAAGAAGGGTTCATGACATACTTGTCACCTAAGGCTAATTTTCTCAGTTGTGTACTTTAAAGCAAAGCACTAAAAATAGTCCCACCCCTAGTTGTCTTAGCTTGTTCTGCAACCATGACTTTAGCACCTCCCCCCCAAGGCAGCAACCTCATAAAATAAAGGGGTAGATTTGAGAAAATTTATCACTGTTCTGAGGAAAACACCTTCAAGAAGTGCAATTTATTAAGGGTGGGACAATGGCACCTTCATGTACAGAGACAGCAAATTATCATTCTTTAGAACAAATCTTGTTATAACAAATACTCTCGTAACAAAAATCTCTTCATATGGATTAGGTTTATAAGTCCTAATTTAGAACAGCGAATAATCGGGCACTTCATGTTTATTATTTTGGGACTTTATCATTTCAAAATACAAATATGCTTTTCTTTTTTCCCAAACAGAGGATGAGAACCTGGTTTTCTGACAAGATTGTTGCCTTTCAAATATATGTGGTGGTATCAAAATACATTGTTTTTTATATAACCACATATAGTTTTCATAGTTCTTTTAAAGGATGATTTTCTAAAATAGTTACACAATGATTATCCTTAAGCATCATTATGAAGCTGGGTTGAGAGAAGTAGATCCAATTTCAGATTAAAAGAAAAATCAGGTGAGCAGCTTCCCTGGGTCCCACTGAAAGCAGCCAGGAAGGTAGAGTGAGCCCCGGCCAATGAATAGAATGGACCGAAATCTGAAAGACAGCTTGTTCCGTTGAGCAGCGTTCAAAGGCCAGTGCTCCTGAGATGCTGATTTTTCCTAGGAAAATCAAGTGAACTTTGGGTATGCCCACCAGGGGGAAAGAAGCAACTGCTGGGGCTTTCTTACTGAAACCTGTCGCCGCTCAGTGCTCCTGGTGGTGCCTCATTCACCTGTTCTGAGGGCAAAACGTTGATTCTGCTGTGGGTCAACTCTCAGGTGAGCCTGCACTGGCACCAACTCTCAGGGGTAAGTGTTGAGGAGATTTACTTTCCACTGTTAAGTTGTTTGCACTCATAATATGAAAGAACCAAAGGAATGGTACAGAAACCCATTTATGGATTTAACCTGCTCATAAAGGTAACAAATACGCTTGTCAGCCAGCTGGTAGGGTCCAGGCAGGAGGAAGGAGCAGAGAGAAAAGATGTGAGCAGGAAAGCGGACACAGCGAGGAAATCCCACAACTTGCTGTTATTTCTAGGGTTAGCTTTCATTGAAAAATAGTTCCTTAATGGGAAACTCACTGCTCCTTGACACAATGAGTTTGGTTTATTTAGTGAGTCATTTTAACATGGTTTACAGCAGACTCTTGGCCTAATTATTATGAAATTACTATTATTTTTGTTAGAGAAGATAATGCATGATGGTTATGTAAAAAAAAAAAAAAAAAAA